TGAAATATTTGTCAAAATGTGTTGTACTTCGACTATGAATGTGTTAAAGGGCCTCCAGCTCTTCACTAATGTTAAAAGGCAAATCTAAAATTGGATTCTGTTACATAGATAAGCTGGGGCTTATCATGAAAAGAATGATAAGCAAATTATAATAAAAATATACTCAGAAAAAAACAGAGTGAGCGAATGATCTGACGTTTTTCACACAGTTTATTGGGCTACATCAAAGAAAACGTTTATCTCGAACATATTTTTCAAGTTCCGTCACTTCAAAACACCTTTAACTTTAAAATAAGGCTCAGTTTTAGTTTGTCCTATTTTTCTGGGCTGTTACGGTTTTTAATTTAATAACAAAACATGCATTGAATACTTATAAATAGAACTTTTTAATTGATTGTTTAACAAATTTTAAGTGTGGTTTTATTTAATCGCTTAAATAGATTATGATTCAAAATGACAAACTGAGCGTGGACAAAGAGCATGACATGAAATGTCTATAATATAATGTAACAGTTTGCTAATCAATACAGTATATTGGTAGGTAAGGTTTTAAATAATTAAAACAAACAAAACTATGTTATATGGGAAACAGCGTATTGGGAACAATGATCGACTGAGCTAATATTGTCTTTGAACTAATTTCAGTTTTTATAGGCAATTTGTCCTAACCTATAATGCTCATTTCAAAAGAGTGTAAAATGCTATATTGCTTAATTCACAAACGTTTTAAGTGCTCATTTGTAAAAAAAGGTTCAATGAGTATACACATTCAGTCATGACTTTGCTTTTAAATTTTCTTTAATGACTATTCAGTCACGAGTGGAACAAAGTAATATTAAAAACACTAGTTTATACAGTATAATTATTGTAGGTTAATATTTGACAGTTTATTTAAATGTCTGCCTTGAGAGACTCAGTTTCAAAAAACCGAAAGGAAATTCAGCAGTAAAAATTTATCAACATATTAAGAAAAAAACCTTTATTACTGTTCAGGTTGTGCTTCCAAGGAAACCGTTCTATAATTGTATTGAAAAACATTAGCTATATTGTATTTTCTTTTCAAGTTTAAACTTATTTTGCATATAAAGCAATGTCTGTAAAATCAATTGGCATGTCTTTATCATATAGCTTAGAAAAGAACAACATTTTTTTTCTGTGTGACATTCATACATTTTACCACAAAAGTTTCAAATTCTGTCGAATGATGACAGCGTGCGAAACAAGCATCATATAAATAATTGGATAATGCCATAATTGTAATTGTTTGTTGAAAATTCAACCAATTACATATTTTAGAATTTTTTCCTTCACTATCAACAAAATATTGGTCAAATATGTGACTGGACATAATCGATTGTTATGAGTTCTGTAGAGTAATTTGCATGTTTTACAAGAACCACCGGATTCTTTTGGAATTATATTTCCGCTCAAATATCTAATCATTTTTTATAATACAAACCTATGTTGTTTTAATAGTTACATTGTATTACTCTAATGTAATATCTTATATTTGAAAGCATGTTCCCTTATTTAATTTCAACAAAAAAGAAAGAAAGAAAAAAATTATTTGTATTTTAAAAAATATTCTGTCTTCCTAGCTTTCCGAACAAATCATTTTTCTTTATTCTTTTATGTTTACATTAAAGCATTGTTTAAGTCTTTGTTTCATACAAGAATAAGCACAATTATTGACCTGTTAATGTCTTGCCAAAGGTGCTTCGCTGTTCATCTTTTATTCATGAATCATCATTTGAATATAATCATAACAATTCATGACATATTATAGAATTTCATTGGTAATCGATTTCAATGTTGAGTTGACCTGTTTGATGTTTGTTTGATTATCAAGTTTCCGAACTCAGTCTTTCATTGTAATTTTAGATGTAGCAAAGACTTGCTAATATTGCAACAGAAGTTCAAGTAGCAAAAGCAAATATTATATAACAGTTTTAATCAAAGTGTTAATCAATATAATTGATGTATCTCATCAACTATAAGCCATAAAAATACTCGGCAGTATTGTGAGAAAAAAATCTGGAAACAAAGTGATCCTTCGTAAGCATTTATCACAACAAAAATTACATAAAAATTGCAGACTCGGTTTGATTGAGTTTGTGACACTGAAGTTAAGTAGTACAGGGCAACACGGAACATGACACCTGCAGTTGTGAAGTATTAACATCTTGAAACAAAGTGATCCATCGGAAGCATTAATGTGTTCTAGAATATATCTTAGAGAAAATCAACTTACTGTCATTGGAATGTAAGACACATCTCTAAGCTTTATTTCACTTTGACAAGTTTAATGAACATTTCTGAAAAAATATCGTAAGTGTATCTGTTAACACAAACAGGCTAAAATGTCATTATTATGTAAACAGACGTCAAATCCAGAGTAAATTAAGTCTCTTGTGAGTGTTCCTTTATTTCTTAAAATCAAAAAAGTTAATAAAGACAACGTTTAAAAAGGCCACTGAAAGCAACAACAAATTAAATATCGTTGCATAAGAAGCAACACCAATGTCTTAGACGCAGGTGATGGAGCAAAAGTATATTATATTAAACTTATAATAATTGTAATATTGATTATTTCGCATCTAAGATTTTCTGTCAGTCATGCTTCTTAAGCTGTCACTTCCCGGGTCTTAAATTAATATAGAGAAAACAATAATGTCAAAGAATTGATACGTAAACATGTAATTGAAAGAAACAACGATGTATTAGTAGCTGTTGCCATGGAAATGGATTGATGTTTTCCTCATATCACATTTCCAATACCCTGAATTGATTTTCTGTTATTTTGTTTCTGTTAAAAGCCCATCAATACCCCGAAATGCAATTATTTTTATTTCTCAAAATTTTGGTATCTGTATTCATTGGCGATATATTTAACTATCTTTTGATCTTTTTCAGTTAGTATTATTATAGTAATTTAGTTCAAATTTACATTTTCCTACTTTTATGGCACATGACACGTCAATTTTTAACATCTAACATATGATCTAAATCCAATTATGAACACCATTATTTAAATCACATTTAACCTTTGTAAACAATGATGCATAATGTGCCTTTACCGTAAAATGTTCCTGATTAAAATGACAACTTAAGTAACAATAATGTACAATCATTAAATAAAACTAGGTAAATACAGATAAATATCCAATGCTTTATATATCGATATATTGAATAATATTCGTTCTTTAGTAATCCCAATATTTAACAAATTTAAGATACCTAGTTGCAACATTTTCGGAAGCTTCCTGGAAGCTGTATTTGTAACTAGTAGTTCACTTTTTCTCTAATTATATTCAATTTCAAAAAGATTATTTGTTATAAAAAGGTCTTAGACCTAAACAAACGAACTTATCTGAAAACTTTAATTTGAAAAAATCAGTTCAAATGAATAATACTTTAAGAACTGTTCCCCCTTTTTAGAATTACACAAGAACCGACCATTCCTAATGTTTTATGTTTAATGTGGTGCCCAGGGCTTAGACTACATGTATTTCTTGAAGCTTAAAATAAAGAAATTGAGAAATCTGTAGCATTTTACATGCAATGGCAAAAGTTGAAAGATGTCCCAAGGAGATCAAGATTTTTTTTCTGCTGACATTTAAGGAGTAATCAATTGACATTTTACAGAAATCTATTTTTGTGTGTAAATGATTTTAGATCTTTTTCATTTTAGTCTTTTGTTCATGTCCATTAATAACAAACTATTTTTTCAGAACAGATTTAATGTTTTCTTTTACTATGCATGCATTCAAAAGAGAACAAACATAAATGTTCACGGACCATTTTATATTTACATAATGGTGTGTTTTTATTGTTGTTTTTTTACCATTGATGGTTGTGATATATTTTCATTCGCTTTCCTTTATATTAGATACAATCATTCTATATTTATTTAATGATTGCCTTCATTTACATTCAGAATTTTATCGGAAAATCATACGTGCCCGTAAGTCTGTCAACACTTCTGAAATTTCTGATATTAACGTACATTTATCCCCTGCGTATTTTAACGTCAGGCTTTTTATTTCATTGTATTTAAAAGCGACAGTACAATTTTTAGTTTACACTTCAACAAATATTGTCTATAAAGATAAGTAAGTGTTTTGTTGAAAAGATCGGAAATGTTATTTTGATATCTTATTTCGAAAGTTTTATGTTTAACAGTTTAGATAAAACATGTTCCTCTCTAGACTGAATGGAACCAGAATTTGAAAGTTATTGATGGATTCTAAAACATTCAAATCCCATGGTGAAAAATTAAACCTCCTTCACACAAACTTCGTATAACAATCAATCAAACTTAGCTTTATATGACAAACAAGCTACAACATCTTAGGAGATACCGATCTAAAATGCAGAAATAAAGATTTAAAAAATGTTGTTTTTCCCCATAAATTGTACGCATTACAAAAACCTTGAAATGCAATGATTTATGCGCTTAATTATTTTGTAAGAACATCGATAAATGTACCAGTAATCTACAATTATGATTGATTTTTAAGCCATAACGTAAAAACAGATAATAACAAAGATGGTTTAACGATATTAACTGATACCGAGAGAGGTCGTTTGTTTTGTCATATTCGCCTAATGTTTTCCTCACTATGTGAATATTACATATTATTTATTAACTTTTCAATATTAGGCGCGTTTTCACTTCAAATGTAAGGGTAATATTAAGTTCACCACGATATTATGAACATAAAACAAGGCCATTTTGCAAAAAGTACGGCCTTGATGAGAGAACTTGGATAAGCGATATTCAATTCTATGTGCTGAGAACAATGATACCGAAGGACCAGAACAATACACTTTACAAATACAGTGTCGATGGCTGGCCGTTTAGTACAATCTGGAATAAAACCAAAAGACATTTCTTGATCACAATTAATTACTATTAGCATTACCTCGATAATAAAAGCTAAAAATACTTGGTTGTAAAGCAACTTTCCATTTAGTTAATCATTTTACTTACGTAATTGCGACTGTCTGATTTCAGGCTTGGACTTATTTTGCCACTTTGATCAGAAGACAAATAGTGAGTGAAGTTTGTATGGGAAAGCAGGCACATATTTGAACAAAGGTAAGTTAGTTTTTTTGAAGCGAAATATGCTTTCTTTTAAAAGGAGGTTTTTATAAGCTTGTACCTAGTGGATATTTTATAGAACGCGTATAGGCTTTTCTTTAAATAAAATATGTTGTAAGCTTTTACTTGCATATTTTATAGAACGTGTATTAAGATTTTCTTGAAAAGAATATTACATTGGCTAAGTATGCTATAAATTTATATATTTTAATTCTTATGTAGGCTTCATTCATATTAAAATAACTATCTAATGGATTGAACTTAGTGAGAAAACGTCGAGGGAGTAAATTGAAATAAAAAACACTGACGTATTTGATTTGTAAATTCTTTCATTTATAAGTTGAAAACTGTTCGCTTATGTCAACACCGAGAGCATACAACGTATTTCTACAAAAATACCGTATAATTATGTACCATTTTCTTCAATAATTGTGTCCTACGCGCAAAATCTCCTGGTGTAACGTGCCATCAGAGGGGATTCCTATTCAGAAACAAGTCGATATTTGATATTTAACTTAATACTGAATATTTTAGATCCTTTAAGGTTTCTTTAAAATTCATTACATAAATTCAAACATTTTAGATATACTTTGCTTTACTAGAAATTTTTGTACATATTCAATTTAATCACAAATGGTAAATCTCACATATATACATGTACATCTTAAAATGTTTTACGATTATTTTATTTTCTTTAATTATTATATGATATTGCAAAATCCTGCCTCTAATTCTTTGCCCTGAGAAATGATTATTCTATTCATGGATATATGTAAGTGCGTTTTTATTGTTTTAATGGTTTTTGACGTTTTACTTTTCGGGGCGAAATATTAAAACATGAGCAGGAAAATCTGCATCACATCACAAATTTGTTGATTGAAAACTACCGAAAAGTTTGACCACATATGTGACATTAGCAGGAAGCAACCTGTAACGTCACATGACAACATCACTTTTTGGCATCTGACATTGCCAAACGGCCCTAACGCGCAATCCAAATACCGGGTTTTAATATCATATCCCCCTGCGGATGATAGATCAAAAATATCAATATGGGCAAAATGATGTCAACCTCGGTTAAAACCTCAGTTGGCATCATTTGTTTCGGGTTAACATTAAACCCTCAGTGAAATGTAATATCAATATTAACAGCCACATTGAATGTTTCACAAAGACCCTTAAAAATTCTCTTTATCATCATTTGTAGAGGTACAAGTAAATTCAAAACATGTTTTCAGCATTTTTCCTTCAGTAATATAACGATACGGATTTCAACAGAATTGTTCATATATTTTTCCTCGCGCAAACATATATTGGTCTCTGTAACTGTCGGATAGGGTATTATACTACGATAATAATGTACAACACGTTGTGTCTGGTTTATACGTCTATTCAAAACTAGTAACGTTATACTACAAAACATAGGAAGTGACGTACTCTAACGTCACGCATACGTTGGCGTCATTTAACGGCACATGCATATGAGCGCAATTCCCGACATTCTGGGGGCCGCAAAATGATAAATTATTAAAATTAATATCAGTTAATTTCATCAAATCTTATATATAACTCCTTTCTAAAATACATTTAAATAAAAAGCATTGTCACACAGTGTTAAAATAACGTAAATGTCTCTCTTATTCATAATGAATACATCTCATAAAAGTTTATAGTCTATGTTCGCGATATTAATGAAATTTTATCAATTTGACTGCCTATAATGTTTATCGATTTACTCTTTCTCATTTATCTCTAACGGATAAAGTTTAGCAATGGGTCTTGTTGTATGATCACTTCCGGTACGAATCTTTGCTGCTCTGATCAATCCATCGCGACCGGGCATCAATTCGTCTACCACGGCAAGTTTCCAACGTATTCTAGGACATTCCTCGTGCACCTGTACTACGTCACCAACGCGTATCGTCTGCTCGTTATGACCACTCTTTGTATGTCGTTCACGTAATGAAGTCAGATAATCAAATTTCCATTTTTTTCCAAAATTTGTTAACTAACACACGCTGAACTCGAAATCGTTTTGTTATGGAACCACTGGTACATATTACCTTCTGTGTGTCGATGTTGTCATGTAATTCTGTTAACCTCCGACCATGGAGTAAGTGTGAAGGAGTAAGCGGTTCTGGATCTAACGTATCTGACGTAACGTAAGTAAGTGGTCGGTCGTTGAGAATGGCTTCAATCTCGGTAAGTATCGTCTGCAGAACTACGAACGTAACGAATGATCGACCAAGTACTTTCTTTAAAGCTGTCTTAACAAGTCCAATCATTCTCTCCCACCATCCACCAAACCACGGGGCCCGTTTTGGTATAAATCGCCACTCAGTTCCTTTAAAGCCAAGCTGTTCCTTCAATGTTTGTGATTCTAACAAGGACTTTAAAGTGTTCGATGCTGCTTGGAATGTCGTTGCGTTGTCAGATATTATGAGTCTAGGCAGTGACCGTCTGCTAACAAATCGCCGAAATGCTTGCATAAATGTGTCTTCTGAAAGGTCATGCACGAGTTCTATGTGTACAGCTCGGGTGGATGCGCATGTAAACAAGCATACATAAGCCTTTGACTCCCTACCGGTTTCTTCTCGGACATAAAGTGCTCCACTGAAATCTAAACCTGTTACTGTGAATGGTGGTGAGCTTTCAACTCTGAATGCTGGTAACGGTGGTGGATCTGGTACAATGTAGGGTTTAGAATTTACTTTACGACAAGTCGTACATTTTCTGAGTTGTGATTTTACACATTGTCGTATCACAGGAATCCAAAATGTCTGTCGTATGTGGCATTTAGTAGCACTAATTCCGGAATGAAGTTGTTTTTCATGTGCATCAAGTATGATTAGTCGTGTCAGAGGATGTTTGGCTGGCAGTAAAATAGGGAATTTTGTATTTTCATCTATAGGTGCATTATGTATTCTACCACCACATCTCACATAACCATCTTGGTCTAGGTAAAGTCGTAACTGTCGTACCAATGGATCGGAAGTCGTGATTTACCAGATTTCAAATTGTTTATCACTTCTTTGTAAGTATTATACTGGCAATGTTGAATCAGCTTCATTTTAGCTTTAAATAGTTCTTGTACGGTAAATGGGCCCGTTGTTCTTGATTCACGTTGTATCATACAATTGTGTATAAATCTCATTACAAATGCTGTAATTTCTAACTACCTTTTTTATAACTGCTGTATCTATAAATATTTATGACATTGTGTAAGCCATCTTCAGGTGTGTTGGATATATCGTTATTATCCAAAGGTGGTTCTTCGGTTTCTATGGTCTCATTAGATACGGTCGTTCATGGTAATAGCCTCTAACTTTTTCCAAAGTGGCCACTGGTTCGGAGAGTTTAACCAGTTTGGACCATTCATCCATAATTTGTTGTCTTTGTACTGGATTGCTGTTATGCCTCGCGTAATAAGATCAGCTGGATTTTGTTGGGTAGGACAGTATTTCCACTTCCGGTTCAATGTTAGTTCTTGGATTTCATTTACTCTATTCTGTATGAATCTCTTCATGGTTTTTTGTTGTGTTCAACCAATGTAGTACGATTTGGCTGTCTGACCAAAATATAATTTTCCTGTACTTCCATAGCTTGTTGTAGATGATTTGCTATACGAGCGCCTATTACTGCAGCCATAAGCTCCAACTTGGGTAAACTGAGTTTCTTCAACGGTGCAACGCGTGATTTTGCAAAAATGAGTTTTGATTCATGTTTTCTGCACAAGTATGCTACTGCACCATAAGCTTGGATACTGGAATCAACAAAAACATGTAGTACTGTGTCTTCTGTTGTTAAGCATTTGTCGTCTGCTACCGATGAACAAAAATATATGTCTGGAGAATCTTGTATTTTGTACAGTGTTGATATCACGTGCAAGTTGGCGCCATTTTGCTGGATATTATCAGGTAAAAATTGTATCCCATGGCAACTTCTCTTTCCACAATTCTTGTAGCAAAAATTTTGCACGTATCAATATCGGACTAAGTAAGCCAAGTGGGTCATTATACTCTCGATGTGTACTGTAAAATAGCTCGTTTAGTCACATTATCAAAAATAGGAATGTCTCTATCTGGGTATGATATCTCGTCTGTTTCTGTATACCATAACATGCCTAACACTTTCGTTACCTTATTGTTGTCAAGAACACCTTCTTCTGTAGCGGTTGCTTGCAGCCGGCGATTATTAGATGCCCATGACCTCAAGTTAAAGCCTCCTTGTAACATTAGGTCTCTTGTATCTCGGAAATACCTTAAAACTTCCTCTTCTGTGCGAAAACTTGATAATATGTTGTCTACGTATAGGTCTCGCTTCAAGATTTTTACTGACCCAGCTGGTAGCGTTCATGTCTAGATGTTTGAGTAATGTAGCGCTGAGTATAAACGGTGAGCATGTGGCACCAAATAGGACTGATTTAAATCTATATGTTGTTAGCGGGCTGTCAGCATTATCCGGTTGCTCAACCAAAGGAATCTGGTTACGTCTCTGTCATCTTTATGTAATCGTACATTGAGAAAAAGCCTTTTCTATGTCAGTTGAGATTGCATATTTTCTCAAGTCTAAACCGAACCATTATGTGTGATAAGTCATTCATTATGGGTGGGGTAGAATCAAGGCAGTCGTTCAAACTAGGTTTATTAGCTGATTCACGGCAACTGCAGTCGTACACAATACGAATTGGAGTCGTAGTTGAATTCTTTCTTGACTGCATGATGGGGTATATAATGCACTTGGGTCGATATTTTCTCGTTCTCGTCAACCTTTTCTATGAAACCTCGCTGTTCTTGTTCATGTATTATTTCTGCGTATTTCTGTAAGATACGTGGGTCTCGGCGGAGGCGTTTAATCAAAGATTCTGTTCTTCTTTTTGTCACGTCGTAATTTGTCGGGAGAGTGGCGTGATCCTCTTTCCATGGGAGTTTGGCTTCATATTTACCGTCTGTAAACTTTACACAGTTTTGTTTGTATATCTCTAATGTGTCAGTATAATCGTCTTCTTCGGGGTTTATTCCTAGGGACTCAAGTTTCCAAAATCTGTCAATATCTGTACTCATTACATTCATAACTAAATAACTCTGATTCCTTGGTCCATGCGCTTGAACTGGACCAGACAGTAAGTATCCAATACTAGAACTAAGTGCTGTAGGACCATCTCCTCGAATCGTTTCGTTTCCTACGATATTCCAGTACTGGTCAGCTCCGATCAATAACGATATTTCAAAACTGTCTTTCATTTATGACTGGATGTGCTAATTTTAATTTTCTTAGGTGGGGTAACGACGTCACGGACTGGGGAATGTGACGTAGTGGGACGGCGATTGTGGGGACGATCATCACTTCCAGGGGTAAATTGTCACCTGCATCGGTCAGTAGATATATGGTCGTAGTGTCTAAAATGTCGTAGTTTCTGCGATGAATCTCCAAATGCTGCCAAACTAATGGCACTGCTTCCACGCGGCTGAACATTCAATCTTTTGGCTAGTTTTTCAGAAATAAAGGATCGCTGTGGCCCCTTCATCAAAAAGAATGTTTGCCTGCGCGAACTGTGTCTCAGAACATACTTGAGCGACAGCTGTTTTTAATAAAACGTCTGGTCGGTTTCGAATCTTGAGTGTAAAACTGTTGCCTGTATTTGAGTGGAGGTATCACTTCCGGTTGAAGGTAGGTTTGTCGGGCAGGTATTTATTTTCGGCCTTGAATCTGGACAATTTTCACATATACTAGTATGGTGTTTTCTTTTACATTTCAAGCATCTGAAGTGTGATCGGCAGTTAATTACTTGGTGATTTTTCAAACAATTAAAACATAAATGCTTCTTTCTTATTTTGTCCTTTTTAACCCTCACATCAATTAACTTTGTGCAATCGTTAGCATGGTGATTTTCATTGCAGTAAATACACTTTCTCTGATCAATAAGCGTTTTGTGCATCCGTCTGTGTATCACGTGACTACCGGCTTCCGGTTTCCGTCTAGCGCCCGTGAAAAACGACGCTGTAGTTCTATAACCAGCTAAAGCATCTGTAGTCTGTCCGGCCTCCATGATATTCAGTTCACGATATAACGCTTTTCGTAAAGATTCTAATGACCACTTATCGCTGCCATTTTCTCGTGCTAAACTCTTGCGAATTTCTGCCGGAAGTTTGTCTATAATGACTGGTACTAAAAGAGTTCCGTACGTATTTTGACACTGACCTAGCGATTCCAATCCGCGAATATAAGCTTCTAATTTGTCGTTATAGTTTCTCATACTGTGTAGAGTATTGCTCGGGGCTGGCAGGTTTAGTAACGCCTGTATATACGCATGAATGATTTTATGACTCTGTCCGAACCTCTCCTTCAGTAAATCGACTGCTTGTATGTAATTTGCATGCGTAAGTGCAAATCCTTGAATAACATTAGCCGCACTGCCTTCTAGTTGCGTCTTCAAATAATTAAATTTTTGTACTTCTGTAAGATTCGGGTTTTGATGAACAGAGGAATCAAAAGCATCCCAAAAACTTTGCCATTCGAGAATGTCACCACTAAATACAGGTAGCGATAATTTCGGCAGTCTCTGATAAAGCGACGTATTTGAATGAAATGTACTCACATTTTGCAAAGAACTGTTACCATTATTCACGTTTTCGATTGAAGAACCACTTCTGTCCTCCATCTGGATTTGCGGGTTAGTTGCTTTGCTATAGGCTTGAAGTTCTCTCACCTTTATTTCCAGCGTCAATCCATATTCTTCACTGCTTATTATTTCCTCCTCGATATCCGTTACTTCCGTCAGTTCTATAATCTTTTCGTTTAAGGAATTAATTGTCTCTGCTCCACTGATAATGGCTTCAAAAATTGCGTTAAATTCTATCATTGATGAATTCTCTTTCGCTCGTTCAATTCGTTCAAGCTTTATTTCGATACATCTTCGCTGTCCCTCTCTGACTGATCGTAATTTATCTATCTTCATGTTTTAGTCACGGCACCAATGTCGGATAGGGTATTATACTACGATAATAATGTACAACACGTTGTGTCTGGTTTATACGTCTATTCAAAACTACTAACGTTATACTACAAAACATAGGAAGTGACGTACTCTAACGTCACGCATACGTTGGCGTCATTTAACGGCACATGTATATGAGCGCAATTCCCGACAGTAACCTTACATTTGAGTTGTCATTTACACTGCCGCTTTGTATTTTCTCGTATCATTTGTCGCGATGCAGTTATATCTTTCTAATCGAGCGTCATATGTCGGCCATTGCATAACTTAATTCCATACTGTTGCAATGAAACGTTAACGATACTAATCTTTCCAGGTAAATGTCAAATCGTGATATTTCAAGTTTATTTATAGACACAGGTTTTTTTCTGTTTTCATTATAATTTATTCGAAACTGATAGTGCTTCTTGTATTCTCATTGAAAATGATAGATTGTCGAATGTTTCATATTGAGGCATTTCATCTGATTCAAATTTTAATTTAAATGAAGCTTTCATTTAAAGTAATGAATTTAAAGGGACTTTGAGAGGAGGTTAATTTTAAATGCTTTGGCAGTCAGTTTCCTTGTTAAATGGATTGAGTATTCAATCTTTTGCCGGTAAAATGCAAAAATATACCAATTAAAAATATCCATAAGCTTTGCATGTCATCTTATTAATATACAATACAATGTATCAATGGAATTAAATCTATTAGACAGTCTAAAACAAGGCCTGATATAAACATCCATTCTGCACCTTATTGCTGTTCTATTTTCTAGGATAATCACAATCGGGTCTTGATTACTGATTGCTAGTAACTGATTCTCTGCAAAACATCATTTGGTTTTATTTTTAAAATCATTCATTGAATTTATTTTCATGGAAATTGGCATTTTATAATAACGGCAAGAATAGTTTGAGACATCTTGGGGCTTGTTTCATAACAGGCTTTACAAAGATTAAGTTTCAGACAATTTCAAATTCAGCAGGCGTTGTTTATAATCCATATAATACATCATTGTACATTTGACGTTTTAAGTAGCTTTATTAAAAATGGGACATAAACAAATATACACCCTATTGGGATTATGATCCGTTTATAGAAAACCTTCGGTTACTGACTTTTGATAAATGAACCTTATGGAGACTTGGACTCACGTTTCATGAACTATACGGTGAACTGTCATTGATTCTTTGTTATAATAAGCATATTATGCTAAAAGTCTCGTTCGTCTTTATTCTTTTGTGATCGAGTACCACACCAATGGCATATTAGTATAGCGTCTGGTATATCAAAAGTTGCAGTGTTCAGTTGTTTGGGTTCAAAAACTTTTGTCACTGACTTTATTGGACGTCAATACTGGAGTATCAAATCAATGTAAAATAGAGAAAATAAGAATCCCTAAAGAAAGCCCAACACGGCATAATTGAAAACGTTGCTGGCTCGGTTTGATTGAGCCTGTTCATGGACGGTACTGTCAAGTGCAAACTACAGTCCACGCCCCCTAGCACCGGCTTAAGCAGAATTCAACATTTACTAAAAGTTTACTAAAGTTTATCAAATGATGGCAGATAAATAGGATTAACCTTTCATCTTAAAGACAGGTGTTATACTATGAATTGCGTCTTTTAAAATGTTTCTGTTTTTAACTCTGTGGTGATGACATGTTTTCTTGTCCTTCGTGATCCTTAGACTCTTGAATTGATAATTGAATACTTCCCAAATTTGTGCTAGGTTAAGGGATATACAAGACAAGACAAGACAAGACAAGACAAGAAGTTAGAGAGAATTTTTCAGCGAAACGCTTTTTCAGCTGCATTTTAACATATTTACTTTTAACTTTCGAACAATGAATTCCAACATTAACTTTATCACACTGAACCTTATTGTTATAATTTCCGAGTCTAAATTGAATAACTGGTTGTTAACACCATGTTTGCGTAGCTATTTTTAATCCGGCGTAGAAATCTGAAAATAACATTTCTACAGACTGATGTTATAAATATGGTTAAGGTTAAATGCACTGAGAAGATAACAATGATAATATAAATTTTCTATTCAGATAGTTGTACCAACACATTGTATGGATATTGTTAAAATACCTTATTATGGTGATATGAAAAACAAAGTTTTGATAATGGCATGCTCATGGAAACTTACGATCGTAATGGAATGTAAATATACTTTCTATAAACTAAATATCAGTTTGCGTGATTAAAAATTCAAATGATTTCAAGGAGTAATCATATCGAAAAATAAACTATTATGACAATATTTTAAAACGTGACAAACGTGAATTATATTTGCTAACCAGAAATAGCTATACTGCTTAATTGTTTTGTACTTGTTCCATCACATTGCGTTTACATGCAATGTTTGTTGTGATAATATCTCTAGTCTGTATAAAGGATAGAGTATTGATGATATTTAAACGGTATGACAGGGGGACATTCAAAGCAATACAATTCATGCTTCGCTTTAAGCAATTAACTCTGGCAAAATGCCAGCACCCACGCTTTCGTATCAATTCATATAATGCTTATACCGTTGTGGATGTTAACCAAAACACTCTTGAAAAACATATAAGCTCAGATCTATAAAAAGGAGAAAGATATATTGTTATTGCTTAAGATACTAAAATAATAATTAAAGGGCAATCATAACACATGATAATAATAACTCACCTTTGTTTTCCTATAGTATTTTTTTATTTATTATATATGTATAATAAAGTGTGATTTTGTTATAATTTTGAACTGTTCTGATTTGTCGAATCCCTACGAATTGTTAACTTTTTCAACAGTTACTGTCTTATAAATACGCCTCTTTACTTTTCTATAAATGGTAAATGTTAATCAGACATTTTCAATTAAATCACAAAGCGTTTTTTGTGAATGTGTTTAAGAAACAAATAAGAGACAAAATTATTATAAGAACTGTAAACACAATGCCATTAGAAATACAGGTACAGTTTTGCCCCAGAAAAATCTGTCGCAAAATACATTAAGAAAATATATGTAGACATATAAGATCATAAGTAACTAATGTTTGCCATGCAAAAAAAATGAATATGCATGAAATCTGTTTGTGCAAAATTGATATACATAATATATATTTGTATATTGTATTATCTACATGGATTAGACATCAACACTTAACAGACTAATGCTGTGTGTTGCATTTCAAAAACGCTTAAATAAAATGTTTTACATTAAATATTGTAATATATACTTAAAAAGACAAATAATAAATTCTATATTGCTATAAGTTTACATTTTTTATGCTAAACAAAGTTTTAAATTTTAAAAATGAATTCATATCTTTATGACATGATACTTATTTTCCAGCGTTCTCAGAATCAATTTCCGTATGTAATATAATGTGTTTTATAACCGGAGAAAAGTTGACATGCAATCAGATGAAAACGTCTTGAGTTAAGATTTATGTTTCTTATGAAGGAAATTGTGCACACGTTAGTGTGATTGTAGTCATATTCTTTTCCGAAATAAAATTGTAAGACATTTTAGCACTATTTTTTCTGCAATACATTATATATCCATGTAAACATCGTCATCTGAAAATGTGTGAAGTTTGAAAATGATTATAACAAATGATGTGTACTTTGCTGATGGTGCTTAGGTCATTAATTGTAAGAAAACCTTTTTCTTGCATCTTGCAGTAACAGCTTTTATTGCCAATAGATAAGATTTAGATATTCAAACGAATCGAAAGCCAGTTGTTGTTCAGAAATGTTTTAACATTTATTTTTAAAAAAGATATCTTTGGTGACCTATTTTCAGTTTCAAAAAAGCTACTCATTTGCAAATTACTGGTATCATTGTTTTGTGTGCATTATATTTTGCAACGCAATGAGTACAGTCGAAGGTCAAAATACTCTTTTTACATTGTACAACATTTATGACAATTAATTTATCATTCAGTTCTATTTTCTTCAGGTTAAAATAATCTAACTCTAAAATCAATATGAAAGCGTTATAAAACTTAGGTTAGCCCTTTTAAAATGAGAAAGTGCTTGTTTCAAATACAAAATGTGTCTTTAATGGAAAATTAATTTATTAGTTTAAATATATTTATTTCTCTTACATGTATAGTATACGTGTTTCAGTGGCTCATTAATGTAGGATTTACATCAAAGCATGATAATGCAATGACGATCGATAACTAACGGCATACAAGGACACCTTGTAGCATTCCTTTTTTCGAAAACAAATGTCAGTTTTATAATCTTCATATTATATATGTGTAGATACGTATCAATCTGACCAGATGGGAATTCAAAGGCGCTTTCCAGACGGTATTAAAAGTATAATCATTAATTTCAATTATTATAGCTAATAAGTGTTTTGTTGATATTACGTCATTTTACTTCATTTACTTGTATTTTAAAACGTATAAAATAATAAAAGACAATTATATTGAATAAGTACACTGTCTTACTTAAACAGACGAGTTGCTTTACAGGCAAATGATTATTCTATACAAGTTTATTTGACTTAATTATAAGACTAAATTATCGACCCGCACACAGGCAGACTATTCGACTGTTCTTGCCAGGTTGACATAATAACTTTTATTCAAGTAACCATTTTGAAATATTGACTTAAGTAAATGAAAAATCGTTTATGAATGAATAAGACATACTCTTATATTTATTCAAAAACTCCTACGAACAAAAGGATATTTACCTTACCATTAATTTTATGTCAATCATTTTCAGTTGGCATAATTGAAACTTTCAAAATACAGAATTTACCAATAAGTTACATAAGTTTAAACGAGCAGGAAAACGAACTAGCACTAGTCGGTGAATTGAGCTTTTCTATATTTGCTCTATTATACATGTAAGTTATCCGTGTTTATCTTTAAAAGATTGAAATTGAAATTGAAAACAATCTATGCGCTCGTTAGCAAAAGTCAATTAGTTTTAGTTTTCTAACAGACAAGTCGTTAATAAAACA